CAGCTCAGTTCTTATATTCACTTCATACGTCTCTTTTTCATAATACATCTATAGGTAACTTATCCTTCAACTGTTATTCATATACATTTATCTATTCTCTACTATCTTTTAATTTTCAATAGTTATCAAAGCAAATCAAATTGTCTTTTACATCCCAGCATTTTTCTAAGTATTCTTTAAAGTCTTTCCAGTCTGCAAAAAATTCTTCTGCTTCCAAGTTATTAAGTTTCCTTGTCATTTTGTCCATTTCAACCATAAAAAGTAATTTTTTTATCCATTCCCCAATGTCAGGGACCTTATCTTGTTTTCAACATTGAGCATATGTCATTCTCGCAGTTGTGATCATATACCACATCAATGTTCTTTTTGCCATATTGACTTCTTCCATTTTAAGTCCCAAAAGTAATATTTCTGAATCCTTCTTAAATTTACATTTCACAATTTTTTCCATTTCAGCATGTATTTCAGTCCAAAATACTTTTGCTTTTTCACATGTCAACCACATATGATAAAATGAGCCCTCTGCCTTTTTACATTTCCAACATTTGTTTGACATATTACTATTCATATTTGCAATCTTTTTTGGCATCATATACCATCTATACATCATCTTAAAACAATTTTCTTTTAAATTATTACACGTTGATATTGTCATTGCATTCTTCCATAAATATTCCCAAGATGACATCAATATTTCTTTATTCATGTTAACTGCCCATTTTATCATCTGCTCTTTAACTGTCTCATCTTCTGTATACCATTTTAATAACATCTTATACATTTTAGAAATGTTTTTTACCCCCCTCAAACCATACTTTTAAAATATCATTAAATTTTCCCCTGAATTCAAAAGCTTTTTTGTCTTTTCTAAATAAGTCATTAATCTGCCTATATTGTAGCCAACCATACTTAAATGCCAAATCCTCTTCCATTTTCATTTCAAATGTCTTTCCCACTGGTTTCAGCATGTCTCTATATTGTACCCAGTCTTCTCCTTTATGTGTCGAAAAAGGTTTTAAAACCTCCGCCGGTACAATCCAAAGTGGTCTCTCATCCGAGAAGAACCTTCTATACTTTGTCCAGGTATCAAATAGAGTTCTTCTAATATAATGATGTTTAAAAAATCCATCCATTTTTATTTTTTCATACCATAAATAGGCATGCCAACCAAATTTTAAATCATGCCCTTCTAACGCCAACAGTTTCTTATTGTCCAGCATAATCCATTGTTGCAACCAGGTTAGACAAACTGCATCATGGTACAGCCTCAAGTTTGGTAACTGAAATCTACCTCTTTCTTTTCCATCACATAGGCTATTTCGCAGACAAAGTCTTGACGCTCTGCCGTGCCCTTCCTGCCACAATTGAAACAGTGAGCAAACTTGAGGTCCTTTGCGTGTCTTCACAGGGTTTAGAATGTTTTGACCCGCTCAGTCTGGAGGAAGTTGACAGACTGCTCATATCTGTGCATCCAACCATGTGTCGCCTTGATCTGTGCCCTTCCTGGCTCATTAAAGTGGGCCACGAGGGGTTTCGAGGTGCTGTAAGGGAGATTATCAACAAGTCCCTCCTGGAGGGACAGTTCTATGAGGCACTCAAGGAGGTGATGGTCCATCCTCTCCTGAAAAAACCAATATCTGGACCCGGCTGGATTGGCCAACTATCGGCCAGTATCCAATTTGCCCTATTTGGGCAAATTGATTGAGATGGCGGTGGTCACACAGCTTCAGAGCTTTCTGGATGACGCTTCTGTCCTTGATCCATTCCAGTCCGGCTTTCACCCAGGTCACGGGATGGAGACAGTGCTGGTTGCCCTTACTGACGACCTTCGGAGGCATCTGGATTGTATTATCTGGAAGTATTATTATTAGTAGTACTTGATTTCTTACTAGCACTTATGATAATGGAGAGTTTTATTATTGTTACTGTTTTAATACTGTATATAATTTGTTATTCATGTGTTTTAATTTTTTTGTAAGCCGCCCTAAGCCTTCTCCAGTGGGGAGGGCGGGGTA